CGCCATCAACCTTGAAAAAGAATGAAGATTAACCAAAGGCTTAAGACAGTACTCAGCGAGCTGTCATGGACTGATAGACTTCTCACACTGATCATCATTCTCAGTATTGTGGTTGGTATCTTGATATCGGTTTATGTCCCGAGCGCACGTGACAAGTTTGACTCTGATGTCCAACTAGCAGGCGTTGGTATTCCTCTTGCCGTTGGTCTTATTGTCATGATGATCCCTCCTCTTTGCAAAGTCCCTTGGGAAAGCATCCACAAGACCTTTCTCCAAGACAGGTCTCTGCATATACAACTACTGATTTCCGTGGTGCTAAACTGGGTTGTCTGTCCCCTGGTGATGTTTGGACTCAGCTGGATGGTTCTATTCAACGAAGAAGAGTACCGCATTGGGATAATCATGATAGGATTAGCACGCTGTATCGCCATGGTGTTGGTGTGGAATGAACTGGCAGGTGGTGACAACACCTTGTGCAGTCTGATAGTTGTGGTTAACAGCATAATGCAAATAGTGCTGTACGCTCCCTTCCAAATCTTTTATTGCTATGTGATCAGTGGGACTGAGAGATCAGGCACAGTGACCTATTCCCAAGTTGCGGAGAGTGTTGGTGCATTCTTGGGGATTCCATTTGGAATTGCTCTACTTGTTAGACTCTTAGGTGTGCTAGTTCTGGGTAAATCAACATACCAAAAGAGATTGATACCATTTGTTTCACCATGGTCTCTGATAGCTCTGGTATATACAATCATAGTCATCTTTATCGAAAGAGGTTATGACTTCATTAGAGAGATTGGGAGTGCGTTCAAATGTTTTGTGCCTTTGGTGCTGTATTTCCCAATCACATGGTTTGGCACTTTCTACTTGATGAGATTCTTATCGAGCTATGTATACAGAAGGAAGAGAAGATACAATGCTGATGATCCAGAAATGACGGAATCTCTACTATGTGGGTGTGAAAAGTCGTTGGCCATGGATAACACACGGGCCAAATCCAAGTGGTGCTCTGCTGACTATGGTGAAGTGATAACTCAAACGTTCACGGCTGCTTCTAACAACTTCGAACTGAGTCTCGCAATAGCCATATCGGTCTATGGCTCTGGCTCGAAGCAGTCCATAGCTGCAACTTTCGGGCCCTTGATTGAGGTTCCAGTGCTCTTATGTCTCACCATCGTAGCCAGGTTGTTTAGACAATGCTATACCTGGAGAGATGACCAAGATGGTGTAAATATGGAGTGTGTTG